AGGTTTGGCTCAAGTGGAAGAGTAAAAGACTTGAGCAAAATAAATTAAATAAAACAAGCAAAAGTGTGAGGTCCTGAGTTCAAGCCCCAGTACTAGCATACACATACACACACATACACAATTAAGAGTGGCTAGACAGGCTCTGGTGGCTTACACCTGTCATCCTAGCTACTCAGGAAGACTGAGATCTGAGGATCGCGGTTCAAAGCCAGCCCGGGCAGGACAGTCTGTGAGACTCTTCTCTCCAATGAACCACCAGAAAACCAGAAGTGGTGCTGTGGCTCAAGTGGTAGAATGCTAGCTTTGAGCTGAAGAGCTGAAGGACAGCGCCCAGGCCCAGAGTTCAAGCCCCATGACCAACAAAAATAAAATAAAAATAAAAAAGAGTGGCTAGAGAGGTAGTGCTGTTTTCCCAGACACACAGCTCCCAGCAGTGGGGTTAAGTCCCAGGCCGCACGCCAGGCTCCAGAGTCCATTTTACCATGGCCAGTGCCCTGTCTATCTCTGTCCCCAGGGGGCCTGGGGCAGAGTGGGGAGCAGGCTGCAGCATGTGGGCCCATCAGGACTGAGAGCCTATGGAAGAGGGAAGGCGGGGGGGGGACAGGCAGGGGGGGACAGGCCGGGGGCCAATTCTGCTCTGAGCCAGGCTTTCTTCTCTTCCGCCAGCCCCACCCGGCCGCACCCCATGCCCACTGCTGCCAGAGCCCAGAGGTTTCCTTTTTCTCTTGCCTAAGGCTGTTTCCTGTCTTTCCTTTGAACTGGGGTGTTGGCTCCCCAACACGCTCACTCTCCTCCAGCGACCCCCCGGGCTTGTCCTGGGATGGGCCCATCCCTCCCAGGCTCTGCTTTCAGAGTCAGGCGGGCACAGGCGGTCCCTGGGGACCCCATTTCCTGGAATCACACCACCCCTCCTTCACCCTCTTCTCTCTGCTCTGGACTGGGTGCTGTCTGGATTCCCCGGGGTCCCTCCCTGCCGCTGGCACAGTTGCCAGGCTCTCTCCTGGGGGTCTTTCCCTCCCTGTCCTGCGCCAGCAGCATGACTCTCGCCAGGGGGCTCTCCCTCCCTCCCTCCCTCCCTCTCTCTCCCTCCCTCCCTTCCTTCCTCCCCTTCTAGTTTTCAGCCAACTGTGGGGACATTAAACTCTAGAAGAGTTATAGGACTGCCACAGGGCCTCCAGTGCAAGGGAGGCCCGGGGATTCGAACCCCCACATCTTGCATGCCTAACTGGAATGAGCCAGCTCCTAGCATCTATGTGCAAGCCACAGAGGCTGGGCTGGGCACAAAGCCCCCCCACCCCGTGACGGGAAATGGGGCTGGGGTGGCATCTGTGCCTCTCCTCCCTGGGACCAGCTCTCCCCCACAGAAGCCCACGAGTCTCTCTGCTCCCCTCATCCGCTCACCCTGAAGGGACCCATTTGGGTGCGGTGTGTTGGGGAACCGTCACTCCCCTCCTCTTCCATGGAGCCCTAAGACTGTACTCGCCAGGAGGAAAAAAGAAAGAGAGGGAGATAGAAAAAGAGGGGAGGGAGGGAGGAAGAGAAGAGAAGAGCCAGCCAGCCATTCTGGGTCCCCAGTATAGCTTATGTGGTCTTTTTGCCAGCTCCACACCTGTATCAATCTTTCATAGAATGATGCTGTACCTCTGCTTCCAATGCTAGCTCCTGGACTTCCTCCTCCAGGAAGACCGCCAGAATTGCCTCCCAGCCCTGGTTCCCTAATCTCAGCCTTGCTAACACCCACTGAACTCCTCCCATGGGCCAAACCTAAGTCAAACTATCTGCAAGCATTGCCACCATGAGCCTACACAGCAACCCCTTGAAGGCAAAGTAGGAAACTGAGTCACCAAGGGGCCAACATACTGGCCTGGGTTCCTTCAGCTAAGAAGCAAGGCACAGCCCTTTATGGTTGTGCTCAGCGCCTAAATCAACCCTTCTGCCCGCTCCCTGCAGCTTCCCACCTCTCTCTTGTTAGTTATAGAGGTCCCAGGTAGCAGCACAAGGAGGTGGAGGCTCTCTGGAATCTACTTGTAAGGGGTAGACTCCAAAGACAGCAGAAGGCTTCCCGCCATAGGTTCTCCTGGCACAGTGGGTGAAGGGAGTGAGCGCAGGTGTCTGAGCTTCCGATGGTTCACAGCCAGCTACCCCAGACCCTCTGCCTCAACCAGGCACCCAGACTCCTCTCACACAGCCCTGGCATCATCTGCCGTGTGCATATTCCCATCATGCTGTGCGTGGGGTGATGGAGAGGCTCCGTGCCTACCCTCAGACCCTCCCCCCCATCATCATTCACCCCAAAGCCAGCAGCACCAGCAGTCCATTCACATTCACACACACACTCCAGAAGAACGCCCAAAGCCCTGCCAGTCTTCCTAAGCCTGAGTCGACAGCATAGGAGGAGACCTTGAGAGAATGTGTATGAAAGGGGGTGGCGGGGGGGGGGGGAAGAGGGAGAGAAAGAGACTTGAAGGACTTGGAATAAGTGAAGTCTGATCAAACAGGCCAGCATTTGGCCCTAGAGAAGTCATGGTTTTGGGGTTTGGTTTTTGTTTCTTTCAGTGGGGGGGGGGATGCTTTGTCAGTCCTGGGGTTTGAACTCTGTGCCTGAGCACTGTCCCTCAGCTCTTCAGCTCAAGGCTAGCGCTCTACCACTTGAGCCACAGCCCCACTTCTGGTTTTCTGAGTGGTTTATTAGAGATAAGAGTCTCTAGGGCTTTTCTTCCTCTGGGCTGGCTTTGAATCTAGATCCTCAGATCTCAGCCTCCCGAGTAGCTAGGATTACAGCGTGAGCCACCGGTGCCTGGCCCAGTCATAGGTTTTGAACTTGTCTCTAAGGAAAACTTGCTAGCTTTCCCCAGGACGGAGATATAGCTACACCATGGGAGGTACTGGCTGGAAGTGAGGAATCTCACCATGGCCCGTTGGGGAGCAGGTGCCAGGTGGTTTGTATTGGGGTGGAGTGGAGGATTCAAGTCCCTCCTCTGGGCCCAGCAGCGCCTTCCTGAACTGGCTCTTCTCCATACCCCTGCCACCTTCAGATGCCTTTGCCACTCTCCAGAGAGGGCAAAGCCCGAGGAGCCGCCCTCCCGGGAGCCATTGTTAGGTCAGCAGAAGCCCCTCTAGGCACTGTTCACGGGGGACCCCTCCACAGCTGGAGGCGGGGCACCTCCGACCCCCCCCCAACACTCCAGACTTTGCTGATTTTACCTCCTGGCCCCAGGCCCACCTGGCCCCCTCCAGCTTGCAGGAGTGCTCTGAGTCTTGGAAGCACAGAGCTTTCTCAACCTCCAGAGACTCGGGGTGGGGGTGGGGGGGAGACCCTCCACTTGAACTCCAAAGTCATTTCTGTATCCTGTGGAATAGTGTCCAAACAACAAGGAAAATCTTCCATTGGCATAGATAGCAGGGTGTGTGGATCCCCAAAATAGCCCTTTACCTCCTTCCTCAAATCCTAGCAGACAAAAAGACCTGAGACCAGTGGATGAAGACTGGGAAGCTGGGAAAGGGTGCAGGATCTCATGGCCTCTGGAAAACCCTAGAAGCCTGCCAGGCCTTTGAACCCAGGCAAATGGTCTTCCTCCTGCTTCCCCAAGACAGGCTTGACAGAAGTCATTTCCAAACTCTTTCCAGCCATTAGAACGCTGTCTTCAGCTGAAGCAGTGTTATGTGCCCCAGTAAATTAGACTGCTAAGCCGGGCACTAGTGGCTCATGCATGTAATCCTGCTCAGGAGGCTGAGATCTGAGCACTGAGGTTCAAAGCTAGCCCAGGCAGAAAAGACTTATTGCCAATTAACAAAAGCCAGAAATGGTGGTGTGGCTCAAGTGGTAGAGCAACAGCCTTGCGCAAAAATGCCAAGCAAGAGTGTGAGGCCTTTTTTTTTTGTTCTTTTTTCTTTTTGCTTATGTGGTGCTGAGGAATCGAACCCAGGCCCTCAGGCATGCAAGGCAAGCGCTCTTCCACTAAGCCAACTTCCCAGCCCCTGAGTGTGAGGCCTTAAGTTCAAGCCCCAGTATGGGCACGAAATAAATGAGACAGCTAACGGTGGGGGGTCCCGGGGTAAGCTGGGATACCACTAGTGCCCCCATTTACTTCCACACACTTTTGCCAGGCTCTTGAAACTCTAGGCCAGCTCCCTCTTCCTCAGGGATCCCCTGCCCGGAGCCTCTCCCAAGCTTGGGGAAGCTTGGGGAGGGGGGTCTCCTAGGGGTAGGGGCCCTCTGTCTCTCCTGTCGCCAGTGACACCTGGGCAGGGGGAGTTTTCTTTTCCCAGAGCAAGGGCAGGTGGGGGCAGTTGATCCAGAATGTGTTCTGGGCCCTCGTCCTGCCCGGGGGTTAACGAGCCTCAGCCTTGGGGTTGAGCCCTCCCCTAGTCCCCATTAGGTCCCCCTCTCTGCCCCATCTCACCCCAACTCAGACTCTAAAAATGGTTCTCTGGTTTTCAGCCTCGGCGTCTGGCCACAAATTAGTGTCTCCAGCACAGCCTCCTGGGACACAACTTCAGGGAGGCCTCTGGGGAGGTGGCAATAGCACTAAGCAGAAGGGCACGGTGCTGCGGGGTCCCCTTCTGAGAAGAGTGGGTGACCCCACACACGCGCGCACGCACGCGCACACACACACACACACCCCTAGCTCCGTGTACCTCCTCTCCACTCCAGACACAGACCTGCTTCCAACCCCCGGGGCGCACTCTCTCCACCTCGGCCGCCAGTGCAGCCAGGGTGACCCTCCTGGGCCCTGCAATTGCTGGACGAGGCAAGAGCCGCCGACCCCCTGTCTGAGTTGGGGTGCAACCCACCTTGCCGCCTAGGGAAGCAAGCGAAGCCCGGCCTCACTGCTGGTCTGCTCTTTAATTTCTGCCTCATTTCCCCTCTCCAGCCCTGGAGCCTGAACCCTGCTGAGATGTCCGGGTCAGAGACACCCCGCGGACAGGTGCCCCGGGGCCGGGGACACCCCGCGCACGCGCGCGCCGCGGGCAGGTGTCCTGGGCGGGCGAGTACTCACAGGTACGCCGTCAACGCGTCCAGGTCCCGAGGCACGACGGAGAGCCCGCGCTCAGAGCAGTCCGCCGCCAGCATGATGCCGTCCTCCTGGCAGTGGCAGGGGCCGGGGCAGGTGGCGCGGCCGGGGCCGGGCTGGGGG